CCTGGAGGAAACGTGTGTATATTTTGTACGCAGAATAGATTTGAGGATGCTGCTTTTTTGTATTACGTTTTTTTTTAAGGGGAAGCTTAAGATGTTTCGCAAGTCAAACACGCAAGACCCTCAATTTCTTGATTGCTTCGCCTTTGTTTGCTTTGTCGTCGTGCATTGCTAATGGCGACCTGCTTTGTGTACCTTTCAATTTTTGTTGGTCTAAAAAAATATACATTTTGTACACAAGTTTATTTTATATTTATTATGAATAGTAAAGAAGCTGCTGAAAGAATATTTATTAATTTAAATTATTTAAATTAAGACTTTCAACTTGCAAAACATTTACTGCCGGAAGAGCCAATTTAAGCAAATTAAAGCAGTCTCTGATTTTTTGTTTAACTCTTGCAATATTAATTTCCTGTTAATTCTTTCCTGTGTTTGGATCGAAAACAGCTTTTTCCGCCTCCTTTGAAAATTAAAGCTTTTTTTCTATTTAGAAAAACAGTTGATAAAAAAATCCGAAACTGCGGTATAAAATTTATTTCATCAATTGATTTTTAATTTTGGATTAATATAAAAATCAATTTTTTAAAGAGTTAAAAGTTTCGTTTTGATATCTTTTTTAAGGGACTTCTTCAATTAAATTTCTTTTTGTCAACATTTTTGTGTATTTTTTTTATAACATTATTGAAATTAAATTCATTAACCCTAAATATTGATATAAACCTTATTTTTAAACCCTAATCTGTAGGAAACGAAAAACTTCATCTGTATATTAGCTAAACTTTTTAAAAGAAGTAGGTTTTTGCCTTACAGAGTAAATCAGATTCTGAAATGCATATAATATATAAAAAAAAAATTGTTTCTCAGTTGATTTTATTTGTTAATTAAATAATTTTTTTTAATTATTATATCCATATAATTTTTTTTTATTCGATATTTTTTTGTTCTATAAATAATATACTATTCGTCTGAATAAAAATATTCATTTAGGATTTAGAGCAAAATTATGTGCTATTAAAATGTAATAATTTTCATTCATTTTTAACGTCCCTCTCATAAATCTAAAACACAGACTGGCAAAAATCGATGCGCCTCATTCCATTCTGCCGGATTTACTACCCAGAGATCATCTCATCTTTTAGTGCCGTCCATTCTTCGCTCCTGACTGCCCAGGGACCAGCGGACTCCGCGCGATTTACGGTTGCTGATATGTGTCTTGAGAAAATCATGGCAAATTATCAAACTCGCAGAGAAACGGCGAGTTATAAAATTTGCTTTATGGAGACGTGATAATAAAGAAAACGTGATTCCATTGCTGGGCTTCATTGTCAAGAACGACGCCAAAATCAGATTACATCACCCCGCGCCGAGAGAATTTTACAACCGGCAATGATCATCTCCGCGGGTAAATTCGCACCCTCCCAATTTCCATCACGTAGAACATGTAAAAAAAATCCAAATCCAAATTCTGTACGAGCAAGTTTTCGGTGGAATAAGAAAAAATACGGAATTCTAGTTTCACTCCACCATACTTGTTCAGCAAGTTTCGAAACACATTCCTTGTTCGGCTGCTGCGGCTGGTGGATGGTTTTCTCCCCAATGCCCCTGGCGTACGCCGAAGTATGCAGACCCGCTTGTTATTTGTGCTAAGCGGGTTGTGTGCAGCGTCATAAATGTTTCACGGGCCGTGATGAGCGCTCGAGAGCTTGGCGGCCGCTTTTTGTTCAGACCCTGTTGGACTCGAGTGCACTTTCACTCGCCGGACCCGACGGTGCCGACGAATATATCTTAGCAAATTTCAGTCCCGGCGTTACATAACAAGGAAGAATTAAGTGGGTGTGTGCATGAAAGCTGGCCTGCACCACGGGAAATTAAAACTACAAACCGCGTGGGAGGCAAGGAATTTGTAATAATATCGGTAAGTGAGGAGCCTCTCGGTCGAAAGTAGGGCGTATATCAGTGGTTGATTTTGTTTGCTCAAAGTCAATATTGGTTTTGCGGAGAAGATCTGGAAATAGAATATTCAACTTTTGAACGATACTTAATTACGGTAAAAAAAGGAAGCTTTCAACACACTTAGTTCTGTATTTTGAGTAAACATGGAATTATTATGAAATATCAATAACAAATTTAATTTTTGGAAATTTCAGCGTGATACTTTTTTATCTCATTATTTTTATTCATTTTAATCAAGATTTGCATTTTTTTGTTCTAATAAGAATTTTATGCCGGATTGATGGTCCGGAGAAAATAAGATGTATTGCAAAAACTTCGGCAAGTAGGTTGGCGCAAGTAGATGGATCAGTTGGAGAGCTTTAAGCAAAAAGCGGTCAAAGTTTTTGGCTCCTTCCGCAGTTTGTTTTTGCAACTTGATCTGTTTTTGCCCTCTTTTGTCAGGGTTAAGGGTTATCAAATCAAGCCGAGGAGTTCTGCAAGAGTTGAATGAGTAAAAAAGTCTTTGGTAAAAAAAACTGAGCTTTCAAAGAGTTTCTCAGAATTCTCAAAACACCTGCACGTTGTATAAAGATTTAAAAATGGAGTAAAAATCATAATCTCAACATATAAAGAATGCGATGCAAAGTTATTTTTATGAAAATTTAAAAAGTTCATTTTTTGTTTTAACTATTGAAATAAAAAGTAAAAAATATTTTGCATTAAGTAATAAATAAATTCATGTTAATTGTTTCGAAATTTTCATTATAGACGCAATTCGACAACACAAATCCGCATATCGACTGTGGTCTTTGTTCGAAGATCATCTGCTTAAGCATACGGAATCAGTTTGTGTGTATATAGAGTTGTCGGTGGATTGAATTGAAGTGTGACGCCCGCCGCCGCCGCACAATGGCCACACATTCGCATGCACGGCAAACCGCGTCACTCACTCAATCAATCATTTCGCCGCGCTCCAACTAGCGCGACTGCAAAGGGCCTCCTGACAGGCCCACGGACCGAATCAGTAGGAAGAATGAGAAGAGAATTTGAATCTAATCTTGTGCAAATGCACGTCAAACGTCTCGGATTCAAAACAAAGCGCAAATCCAGCGCCGATTTTATCTCGCGAAAGGTGTGCGTGTTTGTGTGGCGAAAGCAAACACGGTGCGCAATTAGAGCCGAAAGTGCTCAAGCTGGATTGTGTTTGTATGTGGCCTTTCAAACAAATATACGTACCAGGTTCGCACTACTTAATTCAAGCACTGCTCGTTTTGCACTGAATTACAGCCCTATTAGTGCGCTCGTGCTCATTTTCCTGCTTTTATATAAGTTGATAAAAATAGTTGAAAGAAGATGGAAAACAATCAAATGCCATTAAAAGTTTATTTTTTCCCAGAAAATGTACAGCGTTTTCCTTTTCCTGCTTTCAGGTTGTTGGAAAAGGAAATTAGTTACAATTGAAAGCAATTAAAAGTTTTTTCCTGTAAAATTAAAGCCAGTCTTTGTCAAATTTAGGAATGGGAATTTTGAAAGGCGCTATAATTTCCGTGTAATTAACCCGCGGGGCGAGCGTTTAAAAATTCGCGTTTTGCGAAAAGCAAAAGAAGAAGTGGTAATTAGCAGCGGCGCAACGCAGAAAGAGCAGCCACACTTTTTATTATTTTCGCTCGCACTATTTGCACGACCCGCAAAATGGGCGGAGAAATTTTAAATTAATGAACCGGCACGTTTTTAACGGTCGTGACATTCTTAATTTGGCCCACCACTTGAATAATAAAATAATAATTCGTGGATTTGTACAAGCCAGTGCGCAAAAGGAAATTGTTTAAAGTTGAAAAATATACCGCAAATTGCTGCGGTTTTATACAAGAAAGGTTTTTTTCCATGATATTTGAATTCATTTTCGTTAAATTTTATTTGCCATTTCAATAAATTGATATCCAATGAAAGAAAATATATATTACGCTTGTGGAGTGTTGCCAGTAGAGTTAAAAAAAACTTGATTTAAAAATGAAGTGAAATATAAACTGATAAAATGGATATTAAAAAAATTAAATGTGAAGATAAAGTTCTGTAAAAAGTCTGGTGTTTAAGCACTGATCTTTTAACCTGAAGCAATTAGTGTGATAAGCTCTAGCCAATAATTTCTCTGGACGTGCAATTAAATAAAAATCAAATAAATGTCTTTAAAAGAAATTAAAATGTGTTAAGAAATCATCACGTCATTTGAGATTGAATTCTTGAATCTAAAAACAAAGAATGCTGGATATACACCATGATAAAAATTTAATGATTAAAAAAGAAAAAGTAAAAAAAAAGAATTAAAATTACGTATTTTTACCTTCTACTAAGTAAGTCAAAAGTGAATGGTCATGCACCAAAAACGGACTGGAAACTGGCCAATGGCAATGATTTCATCTTATTTTCCGCTAATTTTCCATCATTTAGAAACCTCAACTCGAGGGTTTGCATCATACTGAAGTGAAAAACCTTTCCTTGTTGAAACAGTGTTTTGATTAACATAAAAGCTCGGCTATAGTTTCCGCAGCGCCCTTTTTCAAAATAAAAGTTCAGAGCTGAAATTAATCACGCTGCTGTTTCAAAAACAATCATTTTGAAACAGGAAAAGGCCGGTTTTCTATTTCGAAACATTCACTATCACATGATTATTATATGTACTTTATAAAAACAGTCTGGAAATCAAATGAATTAATTCAAATTTATATGTTTTGTAATTGAAATTAAGTAAATAGTTGGACAATATATCGTATTTGCTAGACAAAAATCTATATTTAGTCGTGACTGATGTAGATAAATTGTTACACCTCTCTTTTATCCTAGATTTGTAAAATCTACTCTAAACACGCAATCTTGTGAAAAATCGTTATAATTTGTCACAAAATATTCAAAGTGCATTGGACTTTTTACTGAAAATGTGATTTTTTTTATAACACATGAATGAAGAAAAAAAATTTAAATTAAAAAATAAACTTTTTCCTCACTTTTGCAAAAAATTGTATTCATTTTTTTTGTTAATTAATATATTTATTTAAATCTATTTTCAGACATACCTTGTGCGAGGTGGACGTGGACGAAGCAAATCCAGAGGAGAGCGGGGACGTAGCGACGCATGGTGCTGGCTGGAGTCGGAGAAGTTCGAATCAATTAAAATCCGGCGACGCAATCACTGTTTTCTCCTTTGCGTATTTTCAGCAGAACTGGAGGCCGATCGGCACTGCGTCTCACTGCTTCCTGCGGCGCATAATCGACCGAGATTAGACGACGAAGCACTAATTGACAGACAGGCTGGCAGATAAGCACTGAGACAAAAATAGCGAACCTTTGGCGCGGTCAGAGATGCGGAGGGCCCGAGCGGCGGCACGTCTCTGGCCCGCTCGCTCCGCGGCAAGCGCGCCGACCACCCGGCGCATGCCGCTCGCGTACCAACCCCTACCCTTGCTTCGCCCTCACCCAGGGGTGCATTGCATTATTTGCTTCGGGAATCATGCACTCGCACACCCCCGAAATTGTTGTGCGCCTTCTTTTTACGGCCCCCGAGAATCGACACTCGCGCTCTGCCTCTTGATTATATGGTTTTGCTTTTTGTTTCGTTTTATTTTATGCTTTTTACGCACGTCGAGATGGATTTTTTACCGCCGTCGACGCGTCCCGTGGGGCGAAAATTGCTTCTAAATGAATTTCATCACGCTATTCATTAATTTGTCGTCGTCGTCGTCGCAGAAACGGCGGAATATATACGAGAGATAATAAAAAGTTTGCTTGTTTGTTTTCGAAAATGGAATTTCAGATTATCTTTATACCACGCTAAAGTGGCCGTGCTGGGGTTTTAGTGATTAAAATTCTCCGTTTTATGCGTTTCGTGGTTTTTGCCAGTTTAGATTGAAAAGGAGAATTTTCAGGAATTATAAAGATAGCGCGATTGGAAATTCAGATGGGAAAAGTAAATGTTATTTTTAAAATAGAAAATTCCTCCACATTAACACACATTAAAAAAATATTCAACACCTCCCAATCAATTCCTCCCAGCGTTTTATCATTTAATATAATATTAATAATAATTACATTTATAGAATATTTATAGAATAAATGTAAAAAATTAAAAAAATTTATATTTAAATAAACCTTAATTATTAATTTACTTTGTTTTATTTATAATTTGTATCTTTAAAAATAATATAAAATTTTATTTTTATTATTTTATATTTTAATATTTAACAGTAAAATCCACATTGCTAATTAATAGGCTGCTAAAATTTTTATAAATTTATATTATTTATACAATTAGTAAATATAATAAAAGAGGCCCACAAATCTTGCAATGTCAAATAGCTCTAGCAAGACTTATGTTCTTATGTTAAGTCTTCGGGCAGTTTAAATTTTAATTTTCACTCCATATAAGTAAACGGCACCTGATTCATGCAAATGTTTACAAGATTTACTAATTATTTCTATTTTCTAAAAACACTACTATTACAACTTCTCTTTCCACAAATTTAAAAAAAACTTCTACTAGATATTGTTTTGAATTACCATCAATGAGGGGGAGAAAATGGAATGTCTAAGTGAATTTATACGCACTTCTTTTATGCTGGGGATATTGAAAAACGGCTTATTATCTACCAAGGGTCAGCATGTCAAGAGAAAGCCAATATTTCAGTTCGAGCTTTTGTTATGATTCGGACCGCACATTTATGGTACGGATAGGGGATGATCAAGTGAGGGGACGCGTTCGACGCACCCCTAGTCTATGGTGCGGCCCATATGGTGGCACCGGACGAATTTCACAGGTAATAAAAAAGTGGAAAATTCTCCTAGCAACATTTCGGTTCATTTGGGGTGGAAAATCAATTTTGGAAAAAAAGTTCCGCTTTTTCTAAATTAGCCACGGTTCATTTTCAAGCGCTGGCTCAATTGGGCATGAGAAAAAGTAACGTTTTTTTAGAGAGGTGCAAATTGATTCGCCGGACTTTTTACATTTTATACGTTTTGCCACCGCACTTTCGCGAATCGCACAAAACACGCCGGCCAATAGCCGATCCTTGGGGACCGTGACGGCCAGAGATAGAGAGAGACGTTGGTTTGTGTGTAGTGCGTGTTTACGCGGACGTTCTCTGATCAAAATGTGCAATCTTTTAAGTAAAACCCGCCTGGGAGGCTTCTCTGCTTCCCTCTTTTTTTTTGCGGACGAGCAGCAGGTTTTTTGTATTATTTGTCCACCGGTATAGAGCGCGTTTTTTAGGTACATAATGTTGTTCACAAAAACCGTTTTCTGGTCTCAACCCTCATTATCGACACAATTTACAAAACTCCACAATTTTTTTAAGTGCTACCGACAGTCCTGTGAATATATTCTGAACTGAAATGATTTTATATTATATTATTAAACGGTGTTGAAAAAACAGTAAAGTCTTAAATCATGCAAATTATTTAATTGTTTGAATAAATCGACACTCTAGGAGATGATCCGGCTTTTTCTTCATAAAAATTGTTTTTAATTAAAAAAAAAACCTAACCGGCATTATTTTTTGTACATTTAAAAGCAATTGTCAGTAATGATTTTTTTAATTGAATATGATAAAAGAACTAGAATTTAAACTATATTAAAAAAAATGAATCCTCAATGGATGGAATAAAGCTTACAATTAGAAAACAAGGTGAACCTTTTTTGGCAGACAGTCGGACACCCTTGTTTTGACACAATCAGAGTGAGAATTTCTCAAAGATTTTTATTTCAGTCATTTTGCATTCAGTATTAAATACATAATTTACTTTTTGTTATAAACTGTTGGATTATAAACCTTTGAGAGGTAATGCCATTAATAGATCATGCTTTTTGTCTAAATCGAAATCCTTTTTGCGTGATACGCTTTTGGTCAACAACATACACACCCAGTAAAAACTACTAGACAGAGTGGAGCTGATTCTGTTGGGAGCTCCTCGTGCCAACTAAGAGGATCACAAAAATGGTATCATAATGGAACTGGTGGTTTTCATTTAAGATTTGGAATTATACACTTGCTCGGGAGGAAAAACACACACGTGAAGCCGGTAGAGAGAAGGCCTAGAAATTCTTTTAATTTGCCTGGAAATAGCACCAGTCTGCGGTGCGTGGTGGCCAAATTGAATTCTTGCCTCGCTGACCAAACCACGCGGGTTAATACGCACAACGTTTTTGGTCACCTCGGCAACAAAAGCAACAAAAAAAGAAAAATAATAAAGTTACGCCTCATTTGGAATTTTTATTTGGCAAACGAAATTCATATAATTTTTGTATTGCTTGCTGCGTGAATGAGCTTTTTTATTGTTTGACGATGTAATCATATTAATTCATTTGGAATAATTATGTTATGCACGCTTCTGAATCGCAGAAATTCAATTTAAAGAGCCGAATTTAATCCTTTGTGTAAAAAACTGAAAAATGAAAGGGCGGTACGATTACTTTTAGCAATGCTTTCAAATTTCAATGTAAATTTTTTATGACTGCCGAAATACGGTTTAAATTGTAATCAACATCACACCTGACACAAGTCTATTGTCAATTTTAGAATCAAAACGACACAGCCAATATGAGTTAAAGAACAGAGTATTAGCGACAACGCCAAAACATAATTTTGCTGATTTTTATGCAACTAATTTATTACTTTTCATTAAAACAATTTTAAAAGAGCAATAAATTTTATTTTTCAAAATTTTATCCCAAACACAATAATTACAATTATTACTATTTATTAGTTTATTCTACAGAATTAAAGTTTTTTTATATATTAATTTTAATATTTTATTATTTTTTTCATTTACTTCATAATTTTTTTTATTTGTAATGACTCTAGCAGAATAAAAAAAAAATAACAATTTATTCTTTATACCATTTATTAAATTCAAAAAATTTTATATAGAAAGAATCGGCTAACATCTTTAATAACATTCGTAATGTAATATTTCTCCAGAAAAAATATTTCTCTCTTGGTATAATTATAAATAATATGAAATATTGGCATCATTTTACCACAAAATATTAGAGTGTATATCATGCTTTGTCCCCATATATCCCTTATTAGGCAATCGTGCCACAGAGAAATATCAGAAAAGATGGTGGCGCACAATACGGAGCATAATGAGCGCGGCTTATCTCGCCAAAATCTGCAGCCACGAACGTAAATACACAAAACCGAAATTAGTTGCAGCCGCGTGTGTCCATCAGGCAGCCGGCCAGATGTACCAAAGCGATATATACGGATTTAAAATTAGTACCTCTGACTGAGAGGAGGGCTGTATTAGGACACATAAAACTACCACGATCGTTTATTTAATCGCCAGTGTAATCAAAAGTGACATTATTTGTGTTGACAATCAAAATCACATGTGAATGGTTTTGTTTTAATCATAACTATTGAAAGCGTTATTGAAGCAAACACAATCAATTTTAAATAAAATTCAACTAATTTTGTCAACAAGTCAAATATTACCTTCGTTAAAAATGTATAATTAACAATTATAACTGGTTTTAAATTTATTAATTTGTCATTTTTGTAATATTTAACATTAATTTTTTAAATTAATTTTTTTTTCTTATTTTCAATTTCATTGATATCAAAATTTTATTTTCCACTTAAAAAGTTATAGAAAACAAAAATATAAATAAACTTTTTAATCATATCTGATTGTGAATTTATATAAGAATTTTCTAAATTTAAAATACTTTAAAATAAAATTAATGAAAACTATCTTTTCTAGGTTCTTTAATGTTTCTAGTCTATTAAAATATAAAAATCCGTTCAGCTCTGTGGCTACCAAGTGGAATTCATGTAATAAAGTTTTGTCAAAAAGTTAACGTCAATCAAAATAAATAAATCACTTGAATTTATAAAAATTTCTATATACTCGCGTTGTTCCATTTGAAAAATTGCCTCGCGCTTTCCAAGTCTCGTCAATTCCAAGTCTCAACCCGGACAAACTTTGCCTTTTGCGGAGGATCTCTCTCCTCTTTCGGGGAAAGTCATCAGTCAGTCAGTCTTGTGCGAGTCACTCACTCCCTGCATGAATTTGACCCAGTCAGCACCAAGCAAGTCTAAATAAGAAGCACCACTCCTTCTCGAGTGCTTCCCTCGGAGTAATAGTTTTGTGTCCAAACTTTGCAGAGCCAGCCGACCGTCCCGGCCTTCCTTTGTACCGAACAAACTTGCTTAGTTCGCCTTTGACCTTGCGCCGAGCCCGTTCTGGTCCTGCCCAAGATTAATCACAACTGTCGTCAGCAAATAACTTTATTCTTGCGTCCACGCAAGACATGGTGCGTGAAATTATCGCAGCCGAGACGCGGAATTCGTCAAAATTTATAGATGAGAACTTCG